GATTTACAAGATGGCTCCAATTTGCTATTTAACCTCTCAGTTTCCCTATTCTACTTGTCCTGGCTTACTGGCCTGTCATTTGTTCAACTTTCTTTCAACATTTCTCTTTACCATCCTCCATTACACTAAAGCCATATTTTTTAAGAGACACATACAGACATTTCACTAGCTAAACAATTTAAACAAACGGCAAAGAGACATATTTTTTAAAAAATATATTTTATTGATTTTTTACAGAAAGGAAGGGAGAGAGATAGAGAGTTAGAAACATTGGTGAGAGAGAAGCACTGATCAGCTGCCTCCTGCACACCTCTTACTGGGGATGTGCCTGCAACCAAGGTACATGCCCTTGACCGGAATCAAACCTGGGACCTTTCAGTCCATAGGCCGACACTCTATCCACTGAGTCAAACCAGTCAGTGCAAAGAGATATATTTAAACAATAAAGACAGATAACATTCCTCACTAAAAACTTTGAATCACCATGGACATGTAGGAGAGGTTTAGAAGGTTAAAAACAAACAAAAAACAGGAACAAACAAACATAAAACTCTAACAGTAAATAAACAATTTTACACCAGCTCGCGCCACATTTACACCACAGAATATCCTGCATTTACCAAATCAGTTTCAATTGTGCAGAGATACAGAACAAGTCCCTGCACAGAGGCAGTAGAAAACTGCCTAAGAACGCTTCTCCTACCTTTTTCAAAGGCAGGCCAGACTCAGACCCTTAGCCAGTCTGAATTTTGACTCCCCTCCCGGAAGTCCCAGAGACATTGAATACCATCTAGAAGCCATTAATCCAGATGATCCAAGCTATCCTGAGGTAAATAATTACATAGGTAGGGGCCAGCTACCTCTTCTGTCCCATAGGACAGGCCAGAACTTGGACCCGTTTCCCTGGGGTTCAGACTTCTGATTTTGACTTCCCTCCCGGGAAGTCCCAGAAAGGTGTTTCCTGCCTCTTTTGGGTCTGCAGGAGTGAGGAGTCACTGCAGTCCCTCTGGGCCCAGTGAGTTTAGGAACCAGCGAATGTGCCAGTGGTGTACCTTCCTTGGGTCCCAGAGTTCGAAGTGAGTGCCCTGAAGTCCCCTCTAGTCAGCCGTGGCCTAAGGGCCAGCTCAACTGATGTTTCCCAGCCAATGCACCAAATGTTGTGGCAGAACGCACAGGAGAAAGGTCATCCAGCACTCTGAGGGAGGAAAGTTTAACCTTTATTTCACAGATCTGCTAGTCCAGGGGAGTTTCAGATCCAAAGCCTGAACTCAACTCGTGGGGAGGCTCTGACTTATATATCTCCTCCTGTGGTGGGCCCCTGAGGGTCTCTGCAGCTCCGCCCAAATCAGCTGGGGTAGGCTCTGCAGCTCTGCCCAAGTCAGTCGGAGTGGGGAAGTAAGACTACAGTTTTAACCAGATACTGAACTAGGTTGTAAGCCTCCCCCACCCCCTCATTTTCCTTTTCATTAGTATTGGCTAACATTAGTGCTAAGCATTTATTCCCTACCAACTTGCTACTGTTTTTGCCTCAGCCATTCTCCCAGTAACCATGTTTTTATTTGGTGAACTACCACTTCCCTGATTTGATCCATATGATATATAGAGGGTAGACCAGCTGTGGGCAAACTACGGCCCGAGGGCCGGATCTGGCCCCTTTGAAATGAATAAAACTTAAAAAAAAAAAAAAAAGACCGTACCCTTTTATGTAATGATGTTTACTTTGAATTTATATTAGTTCACACAAACACTCCATCCATGCTTTTGTTCCGGCCCTCCGGTCCAGTTTAAGAACCCATTGTGACCCTCGAGTCAAAAAGTTTGCCCACCCCTGGGGTAGACCCAGACACTATAGTGGGCATATAACCAATCAGCAGCTCCCTGGACTTTTCAGAACTTTAGAAAAGTAAAAATATCTTTCATTTTCTGCTGGGATCACTTAGTAAGTTGTGAGCTTGTTATTATGTGTAGTCCTGCCTGAGAATGAAGCTAACAGGAAAGTAAGGCCAAAGATATAGAGAGACCATATGCTGAGGATGCTGTTTAGACTGGCAGATGCAGACACACCTGAGCTTTTCACCATTGGACTTGTCAGTCATAAAAGCCATTAAGTTCCTGTTTATGATGAAGTCAATTTGAGTCAGATACTCTGACTTGAAGCTAAAAAAGCCTTTAACGGCCCTAGCTGGTTTGGTTTGGTGGATAGAGCGTCAGCTTGCAGACTGAAGGGTCCCAGGTTCGATTCCGGTCCCGGGCACATGCCCAGGTTGCGCACTCGATCCCCAGTTGGGGGCATGCAGGAGGCGGCAATCAATGATTCTCTCTCATCATTGATGCTTCTATCTCTCTCTCCCTCTCCCTTCCTCTCTGAAAACAATAAAAAACATTAAAAAAAAAAAGCCTTAATGGTATTAGTAAATTGTCCAAGGCACACAACCTATAAATGGCATGCTCAGATATTTACATTTAGGCCTGTCTGGTTCTAAGATAGATACATACCTTTAACAACCAGGCCCATACCCAGAGGCAAGAATAGAAATGGATGCCCATATGCCATGTCTTAATATTTAAAAGTTAACTTAAACTGAGCTCAAGTATGCTCTATTCTATCTTGATAGGTACAACATCCTATAAGGCCAAGTTTGAATTTAGAATTCTGACTCATGTATGTCACACTATGGTCCCAAAACAGGCCATCCCATGGTCAAGGCCTGTTTCTCTTTTCTTCCTACCTGGTTCTTTCCCACATTGCAGGGGATACTCCAGTGCACACCTCCAAGTGCTGTCAGATCCCTGAGAACCATCACCCCTTCACCCACCACTTGAGCAGCACTGCCTTTATAGGAATGGAGCCAGGGGAGAGGCTCATACCGGCCCTGGAAGCACATTTGGGCCTGTTTGGGTACGGATTCCAAGGTCTTAGGTACCTGGACTGTGGTCTGGTGGGTGAAGTGGCAGCAGAAACTCTGGGTAGTCACATGTCCTTGGTCCTGCAAGGTCTGTGCCTCATGGCAGGAGGAGAGCCAAAACAAGTCCTAGAAGGAATCTTCTTGACCACATCTAACACTATTAACCTCTGTGTTAACCACACTTCATTCCACCCACCCCCCTGCAGTTTCAAGTTCACTAAGCTCTCATTAATACACCAGAAATACAGTATTTTATTGCGAGTTCCTGGAAGTTCAGCCAGGTATATCTCAGAGCTCTAAAAATTTTGGACATGTGGAAGTAGTCTTTTATGTTTTCATAATTGGTATCTATGGCCTGATTACTGGCTGTCCATTCTCACCTTTAAGTTCTTCCAAGTATCCCACAGACCAGCTGCAGCCTGGGTAGCAGTATGGAAACAATTCATACCTTGATCATTCCTCCATCTCATCCCAGGACCAATCTGGGGTTAAGAAGAAAGCCATGAAGCGCTGAGCATACAAGCTTGCTAATAAACCCGTAGAACTTTCCCTCCTGCTTTCATTGTAGATGCTGTCACTATAGCAAGTGAACTCAGCTTTTTCAAACCTACTGGCTTATAAATTATGCTAATTAAGTAGCAGGGTTTTTTGTTTTTGTAAAAAATCAAATTTCCTATTGAATATCCTGTTTTAACCCCTCACCCTCTCCTTTACTCTTTTTTTCTTCCTTAATGACACCTTTCTGCCACAGCTGACTCACTAAAAACTTGCTCATTCCATACAAGAACATGGAGAACTGCAGGAGGGTTTTGAGAGGCAGTCCCAGATTAAACTGATCACCTCTACATACGTTCTAGGACTCAACACAGAGCTTCATCTAATTGTAGGACTGTGCAACATCACAATGGACGCTGTGTATTTTTATTGATTTCAGAAAGGAGAGGGAGATATAGAAACATAAGTGATGAGAGAGAATCATTGGTTGACTGCCTCCTGCATGCCCCCTACTGGGGATTGTGCCCTGACCGGGAATGGAACCATGACCTGGTTCATAGTTAGCCCCACCACTGAGCCACGCTGACTGGGCTCACAATGGACTCTAGATGTTTGTCATTGATCCTAGATGTTTGTCATTGATTCCATCAGCTGACTCCCTAGAATCACTACATAGGGAGACATTGGCTGTGGGTGTAGCTAATTTTTAAAATACTGTATATATTTTTTATTGACTTCAGAGAAGGGGAGAGAGAGAAACATCAATGATTAGAATCATTGATCGGCTCTCTCCTGCATGACCTCTACTGGGGATCAAGCCCACCACTGGGCATGTACCCTGACCTAAGGAATCGCTCAGCCACTGAGTCACACCTGCTGGGCTATCCCATTATTTCTAGAATCATCCCTTCCCTGCACATGGTTCAGCAATTCCACTCCTCAGTCAGGCAGACACTATTCCTAGGCCTCTCATCAGCAAGACATTTGCTTATCAAGCCATGATGTTGGTCAATCATGAAAGGCTGAACAGTCATAGTCAGAGGCTGTGTCAAGTTCAGGGTTAGCTAGGCATTTCTGTGGGGCACATAGGAGGAAGTTTCTTTAGAGGTGAGAGAAGTAGATGCTACCAACCTATGCAAACTGTCACCTGCTTCCTTTGTCTCCTGAACAGCTGCTACAGGACTCTCCTTGCACACTGCAAGCATCAATAAATGCCTGTCTCATTGGAGCTGCACTGCATATTCAGTATTCATCCAAACATTTATTGAGCATCTACGTTTGTGAACACAGTTTGCCTCTGAGCAATTGCATCTACCCTATTTGCAGAAGTCAGCTTCAAGGTCATTTTTTCCCCAGAAGCTTCTGGACACCTCTCAATTAGATTAGGATTGTCATAGTACCTTGTACTTCCCTTAGCCTAGCATTTATAAAACGCCCTTTTAAAGCCTGTTTTCTGATCTGTATGAGCCACTAAACTGAAAGCTCTTTGAAAGCAAAAACCTAGATTTTGACTGCAGCACTTTGCACAGAGCCTTGTACAACGCAGGCATCATTTAATGAATTATTGCTGAATTAAAGACAATGAGTAGAGTGCTAAGTATGAACAAGTGGGACCCCAGGATGTTAGGTCAAGGCTTCTCTGAGTTCAATGAGATGTTGGACGAGTACCAAAGTGGTCAGTTGACCAGTGTGGAACATGTGTACAAGGTTGTAAGGCATACTGAAGAAAGGTGTGAAATTCTGTGGCTGGAGTACAGCGGCTTATCTGGGGAGCCAGACAGGTGCCAGACAGGAAGGGCAGCAGGAAAGGATGATGCAGAATCGCAGTCCCCGTAAGGTCAAGTACATAAAACAGGTAATGGCAGCAACCCTGGATTGAGAACGAGACACCGACTTCCAAATCCTCTGGGAAAGTCCCAGAGATTCCACTGGCAGCGCCTCGCACCTCGCCCTGCCCACAGCACCTGCTGCCCGCGGCACACGCTGCCCGCTCACCGCGCACTTCCGTCCCGGCCACAGACACAAGAAAATGGTTGTTTGGGGGCTGGGAGGAGACAGTGTCGGGCAGGTCAGTCAGGGCCGAGACCCGCAGCCGGGCCAAGGACGACATCAAGAAGGTGATGGCTGCCATCGAGAAAGTGCGGAAATGGTGAGGCGCCGAGGCCGGGGCCGAGGGTGCTGGCGGGGTTCGCCGGTCCAGGCCCAGAGTAGCACCAGACCGGCAGGGGGGGG